ACTTGGCTGGTATATATATACCAGATACATGTGCAACAATGCATATGAAAAACACGTTTTTTCATGATCGTGGCTCTCGCTATATTTTTATTGAAGCACTTGGTGGAAGAAAAGGCAAAGGTGGAAAGATAAAGGTTTAAAGAAGCAAAGGCCAAAGGAACAATAATAATTGGAAAGTGGTCACGATGTCCATGAGTGTGGCACACTGTAGCTTATCTTTTATGGTTTCTTCTTTGCCACTCAATTCATCTACCTTTGTTTTTCAAGGAAGTTTCGAGTGCATGGAGATATATCATCAGACTGAGCAAGTTTCCGCTGAAAGCCAAGAATGATCCAGTTGTTGGATCCCCAAATTTTGAATCAGTTGTAAACCTTTCATGCCAGTGTAATAATATTCTACTTTTAATTGAAGAAAAATAGTCAAATGAGATTGCACTAACTACTATCTTCTTATTATAAGTTTTCCATGTTTATCTATGGTAATGCACATGCACTTTTCTCAACCTCATAAGTGTAGGTATGATGGTTTAAGTTTAATTTTACACAATAATCAATTGGTAATTGAACAATTTGTCCCACCAAATAAAGGATACATAAATTGGGACAAATTTAGAAACAGAATCATATTGATTCTGGTACCCTCATTATATGCTATCATCCACGTGGCTAGCATCATAGGGTTGGTCCTAATACCTTGTTTTCCAAATAAATAAAAGATCCAAAATGCCTTCAAGGTTTTTGCTAAAAAAAAAAAAAAAAAAAAAGCGTTTATGCACCTGGAACCACCCTAACTCATCTCAAGGTTTCTTGTACATTATCATATATTGCGGTCATCTAATTTATTCATTTTATTATTTAAAATAATGTATGTGTATTTGACAATATAAGATATGAATTTTGATGAAATTACCTTATTAAGTTTAAATATTTTTAAGCTATAAAGGAATAAACTATAATATATATTAGCTAACTATACATTTATTGATGTATTAATTTCGTGAGAGTAATATCGAATAAAAGATAATAAGATATTACCTACATCAATTAAAGACGGCACTATTGTAAAAACAATTAATAAAGTAAAATCATAAAATTCAGGCACCTGCCATGTACCACGTGGCTTTGAGGAAATGAGATTGACATTGTTGAAATGTGAACATTATTTGTTTTTACAATGATTAATCTGATTAAATAGCAATTAACTAAAAAAATAATGATTGTGTTCGGTACTTGTTTACACGGCTCAAAATGTCACATGCATGAAGTATTTCACTTCTATATTGAATTAATGATATTAATTTTTTATTGTGTTTAAATTAAATAATTATTTAATGATAAAATAACTAATTTATTGTTTTAAAGTGTATACATTTATAATTTAATATTAAATTTTAAATAAATAAAAATCAAGTTTTTGAAAATAATTTTCATCTTTTATAATTATTTAAAATAAGTTTTTATATATTATCATTAAAATGTATTTAAATTTTTTATATAATGATAAAATATGTGAGATTAAAATGTATTTTAATAATAATGTATAAAAACCTATTTGAAATAAAGATTAAAAAAAATTATAGAAATTATTTATTTATTATCTTTAAGAATTAAATAAGAAAATATAAACTTTAAAAGTAAAAAAAAATATTAAGCATTTATTAATACAGCACAATCAAAACTCACTTAGAAAAATGGTAGGTCTTTGTAGAATTGTGAGCGATGCAAATTATAGCATTCTAATGCAATGATTTAATAAGAATTTTTAATAGTGTTTTGTTTATGTTAAGCGTTCATATGATATTATATTATTTTTTTCAAATTTTATATATTTCATTTTAATGATAACATTTTATAAGACTTTTTTTCATCTTAATTCAAATTTATTTTGTTTTATAACTGAATATTTTTAATTATTACAATTTAGGGTCTTGTTCCATTTCTTCATGTCATGTAAGTATGTGTTAATAAAAAAATTAAACTTAATATTGTGGTTAAGACACTTCGTTTAAGATTATGTTAATGTTTATTTTGAGACGGTCATAAAAAAAATATACTGTGTAGGTTGTAACTAATACGAAGAATGCAACTTAAAAAAAAAAAAAAAAGAAAGCAAACTTTATATCATTCTCAGAGTAATTTTTTCTCATTTACACTTTTTTTCCTTTTTTAAATATTTTAAGTTATTTAAAATAAATAATAATTAAATTTTTAAAATATATACTTTAAAATACATTTAAAAATATATCTTAAATAATAATACAGTATAATTTAAATTTGAATATATTACAAATTTATTTTATTTTAAATATATATTTTATTTAAATACAAACTAAATTATATTATTATTTAAAAATAAACTCATCAATATATTTTTATAGGTAAGAGACAGAAACAAAACATCTACTAAATTCATTAAAGCACTTCGTAACTACTTGTCCAGTTTTAGTTATTGATCATTCATAATGATATGGGCCTATAATGGGTGGGATATAGTCTAAAAATATTGCCACTCCATTATTAAGATTTTTTTTTTTACGAATATAGTGTATTTTTATTTTTATTTATTAAAAAAAATAAATTTTAATAACTCATATTATTAAACATTACTTCATAATAGAAAAGTGGTGCTTCAGATTTTGATATAAATATTTTTTTATTTTAAATAAAAATAATAGGATTTTTATAAATTTTATTTATATAGAAATTATATTAGATAATATGTTTTTTTATTTTTTAAAATAACTTATTATTATTATTATAAATAAAAAAATATAATAACAATAAATTTATATTTTTAATATATTTATAATAATAATAATAATTTAATAAAATAAATAATGATTATGTCATATTATTTATATAATTCAAAATAATTATTAATCTATTATTTTATTAATATTGTTATTATAAGTTATAATAAAAAAAATATGTTTATTATTAATAAAATAATATTAATTATATAAATAATTTAATAATAATATTGATTATAATAATTATAATAATACATATTATTATTATTAATTTTATTATAAATAATAATAATATTGATAATAAATATTAATAATATGAAAATATTTTTCTTAATAATAATAAAAATAATAATAATTTATTACTATTATTAATAAAATAATAATAGTTTTTCTATTATTAATATTTATTGTGAATATTATTATTATTTATAATAAAATTAATAATAATTATGTTTTTAATATTATAATAATTATAATCAATATTATTATTAATTAAATTTTATTATTAATATAATTAAGAAAAATATTAGAATTTTTATTTTTATTACGAATTATAATAATATTAATAAAAAATATAATTTTAAATAAAATTAATCTTTTAAAAATATTTAAATTTTATAAATGTAAATAAATTTATAAAGTTAAATTAAAACAATTTTTTTAATTGATAATATTTTTCTCAACAATAACTTTACTAATTTCTTAATTCTAAAAAAATAAAAATTATTAACAATTAACATAAACTTATTATGGCACGATACCCGTCATGTTAACAAACGATTGATTAAAAACATTTGTAGATAAATATGTAAGTATAGATTTTTTTGTTTTCCTTAATATTTATTTGGGAATCTTTCCTTGTATAAAAAAAAAAAAAACACTTATACTGTTTACACTCCCTTTTGACAAGAAATAAAAATAAAAAACTCATTATATATATTGAGTAAAACACAATTTTTACACTGATTAGAGTTATTGTAAAAATTTAGAGTAAAACCTAAGTTTCTAAATTAATTTAAGAACATACAATTAAAAATAAAACATTAACTATTATTTTTTATGAGGGTAAAACCATTATTTTGAACGACCGAGTAACTTTTTTTTATTATTATTCAAGACAGCTCATAACTTTGTGGCTATGGAATTGGGAATTTGGGTGGTTTTCATTGCCTACTGATATAAAAGGGCTATACTATTTAGGTGGATTTTGTTAACCCTTTTCTTTTTATTTTTTTGTATTACCCATTTCCTTTTCTAAAATATTGTTTACAAAAGACCCATTTACAGAAATTAGTTTCCATCAAATTTGAAAAAAAATAATATATATATATATATATATATAGTGTGAAGGGACGGGGGTATAGAAGTTCCAATAGTGTGAAGAAACGGGGATATAGAAGTTCCGAAACGAGGAATTGAATTGTTGGGCCGAAAATCTGATAGACTTGTTCTAGAGTCCAGCCCACGAAATACATATTGAAAATGGGGTAGTGCAAATATTGATCTGAAAAGTCTCTAGTCTCTGTTGAGAGTAATTAAAATGTTCCTATGTTGATTAGTTTTACATTGAATATATGGGAAGTATTACAGATGCTTTTCTTTTTAATCAAATAAAAACAATTAACACAACCCATTTTAAGGTATTGAGAGCCATCAACCATACACTGGAACCTAAACAGTATTATGATAACAATTTTATTTTCAAGCAAAATAAAATCAGTACTATGAAAATAAATACTTTTTAAAAAAATATATGGAAATGAATAAATCGTATTTAAAATTACGATTTCATTTTGAAGAGAGGGTACTTCCAAAATATTACTGTTCACATGTTTTTATAATTTTCAAAGCTTAGAATTTTGGTAAATATGAAAGTTGCACCGCAAGGTTAAAATTCCCAACTTGGAGAGGAGGACATAATAGTGTGATACCTCATTTTCGCAAGAAAAAAATTAATTGAGAATTCAATATCACCAAATATCTATTCAAAAACTTAATTTATTAATAAAATAATAATTTTTAATTAATTACTGTATAAATATAATATTAATAATGAATGTTTTTATTTTTGGGAAAAAAATTTGATAATTTATTTTTATAAATATCTTATTGAAAATTTTAAAATATTATTTTTTAATATTGATTAATGGAGTGAGGAAAAGAATAAAATAAATAATAATATAAAAATCTTAAAGGGTTATGAGAATATCAGAACTCCTTATCTTTTTTGGTGTCAGCGATCTTCTGCAATCATCGTTCTGGTTCTGACTCCAACCGATGAAGAAGACACAACTGTAGCAGAACCCAGCTGACTCCAATGGAACTGAAAGTGCCCGATGCCGAGACCGTCGAAGTAGCGGAATCAACGGTTGGGATTTTACCATCTTGGAGCCAATGATGTGAAAGAAGATTGTATACATTTAAGCAGCGTCGGAGTCGTAGGATCCAGACATGGAATGGGAGGATGATGATCGGAGCAAAATCTGATGCAAACAAATAAAAATTAATTAAGGTACGATTATTAATTATTTTGTAGAATACTGCATTCAAATATATAAAAATAATAAAAACCCAAATTGGTTCTGATTCTGGGTGGACCACTCCATTATCAAGTTCTTTTAAGGTATGTAAACAGCAGTCAAACAATCTATTTGAACTAACTTTCATAAGAAATTTACGTTAGCCCTATTGGCTAATGGCTATTTAGTTTTCCAAAGGGTTCTAAAGCAAATAACTGCTTGAGAACATTACAGCTTCATCTCATTAAAAGGCTTAGCATGCCCCTATCAAGTTTTAATATTTTTGTTTAATCAAACCAGTTTGATGAGTCTTCAGTCCCACACAATTTGAGGTACAGCCACACCCTGGAACTGTGATTGTTGAATTGCTGTAGTCCTGTAACCCATTACCTTCATAGTTGAATAAGTTTTCTGCGACATAGCGTCCAATACTTCGGCTTCCTGTAAGAAATCAAATACAAACGATTAGTTAGTCGGGACAATGCCTTGAACATGTAGAGGAACTTCAAGAGAAATTCACGGTTAAAGAATTCCGATTCTAGTATTTACGTAGCAATTTACGCTACAACAACACGAGTAATATGGAGTAATGCTTAAAAATGTTATGAATTTGTATATTTTTAATAGTATTTTAGCACAAGGTACTAGCATAATTGTTCTTGAATCCAAAGAAGTTGAAGTTAATAATAAGAACACAAATTCCACATACATCAAACAAAATGTTCTAGAGCCTTTTGAACGATTTGGGCACAATTTCATGAATTAAGCCCATTTGCTGAGTCAATGATCAAAACCCAACATCAGGTCTCAGAAACCACAATACACATAACTTAGCATTGAATCAAGGCAAAGTGTTAGTTGAAGATAGCAATTTGCCAGAGAAAGCATTTCCCATATTACCTGACTTAAGAGAGGCAGAGATAACCAAATCAGGACCCATATAAATAAAATTGATGTATTTCACTCCAACTTCTATCCTTTATATCATGCATGGCAACAACATCAGTGAAATTTGTGGTGTGAGAACATGTGGAGACTCTGTTGGGATATTTCAAACTCGAGAACTGGTGCTGACCACAAAAAAAAAGAGCATACATGTTCAGATATATATTTTAATAGAAAAACTCAGTCCAAATCATCTATACGCAACATATCCAAATTACATGCATGAAAGGCGAACATACAAAGATCTCGCTAAAATTGGGTCTGGTGGTGAACGAAGCTTCCATTGTAGAAGACAAAGACCCAGTGAGTGGAGCGATTGTGGAGAATCATGAATCAATGTTAGTGGCGAATGGTGGTATCGCTTGAAGGGGAATTGACATTGGAACTGGATCGAGTTGAATTCAATATTGTTGCCGGATGTTGATCTCTGATTGGGATGAGGAGTAGTGCAAAAGAGCCGTAAGGAAGAAACAGGAAAAGAGGAAATAAAAGTGTGTTTGTTTAATCATACCATGCAAGTCAAATGAACCAGAACAACAGCCACCGATAATTATGATTGTGGCATTGCTGAAGTTCTGGGTGCCATTACCCTTATTGTTGAAAGAGTTTGCTAGCACACCGAATCTGACTCCGCTAGTTGAGGTACAGCTAGACACTTCAAATTTGACTGTTGCATTGTGGAATTCTTGTATGTCTTCACTCAAGTTGTTGAATGAGTTTACTACGCCACCGAGTCCAACACTTTGGCTTCCTGAAACACATAAAATATAAAAGGATTAGTTAGTGCGTACTCGATCGGGACAGTTCCTTGAACACATAGAGGGAACTTCAAGAATGGGCAAAACAATATTTTCCTATATTATTAACAATATTTTAAAGTATATTTACCAATTTATCATATTTTAAAAGAGATCTCAAAGCTGACTGTGAAAATTTTGATGGTAAACTTGAACACATCTAGAAACTAAGTTCATTCATTTTCTGCATCACTAAGTGTTTAAGAATAAATTTTATTAAAAGCAAAATCCAATTTTTAGATTCATCTTGTGCTCCAATGAGACAATTTCGCTTGTCCAAATTCACAGCAAGTAAAGAAAAGCAATACAGGGGAAAACAGAACTATCTTGACCATTACTAGGTGAATGGGAAACGACCATACCACGACCCAAACCACTCAAGCATTAAGCCGAAATAGAGGAAGACACTATCAAACACAATTCTTCCATTCCATAGATCTCATATTGTGTGTAGTAGGAACCTGGATTTCCAGGCATATATTGTTCGTAAAAGCCAACTGGAAAGATTTATTTGGGCAGTGGGAATGATTGGATATGAGGCATTTATAGGTGGCTTTTTTCAGTTCATTTTCCAGAGCTTAATCTTGAACAGGGAGTGAAAACTACCAAACTGGAGTAAAACAGGGTAAAGAAAATTTGTGGTGGAGCGATAAAATGTTTAGTTGGTCTTAACAACGACTCGAGATCAAAACTTTGACATTAAAAATGAGGGTGGAAAAAACACAAGGACTCGTAGGCCCCTCCTTAGCCTGAATTGGCTGATTCTGGTACACTAAAAATAGTCTAACAATTTTCAGGAAGTGAACTCGAGATTCACTTCACCTCCTTTTACAGGAAAAGTAAACCAGAAAATAACAAGGCCAAGGTCTGACAATCAGTTATGTCTGAGATAAGATATTAGAGTCTAGGTTGAAAGAAAGTACTAACAGGTCAATTCCTTGATTTCATACCGAGAACATTAGCATTAAGAACTGAATTCTTAATTACTTGTGGATCAGACTTTAATGTGCATGTAAAAGCTCCAGAGAGTGTGAGGAGAGTGCAACAAGGAAAGCATCTAGGTCTAGCCACTTGTACCAGCCTGAAACGCCAATCCAATTATACATAGTACTGTACTACTGTAGTCTTATAATGAAAATAAAACTCTAGAACTGTTAACAGTAAATATATGTTGGGGAAACAATTCCACGCACAATGAAAATAGAAAGATGTCACAGACATCATTAATTATAAATACTGACATAACATAAAACTGTGAAAGAACACAAATTTAATATTGTTTGCTACCTCCTATATAAATCTACAAAGAAGTCTCAATAAATATTTATTATCTCAAATAATGATTCTAAGTTTTCTATACAAACTTTAAAAAAAATATGTTCATTAGACACCTCTCTCTTAGGTACGATTTTCTCTTTTCACTATCACCTTTTAGACATCTTTATCTGATCCATAAAAAGTAGTAAACTAATAGAATATCTTAAATTTCAATTATATGAATCCTATCTTATTGTCAGAAAAATTTTAAAAAATTATTTCGATCGGAGTTTCCTATAACTTAATAATCGAAACTTATAGTTTATATAGATTTTTCTAAGAATAAAATCGTAAAGAAAAAAAATTACAAAATCAATATTATCTCAAAAATAAAAATGGATCAAGACAATATTATTATAAAAAAAATATTAAATTTAAAAATTTGAAGAGTTCTCTCGACAATTTAAAATTTCTAACTCTGTCACGTGGATGTTTACCAGAGTCAACTTCAATATACTCTTTTTCTTTATCATGTTCCGCTTCACAAACTTTAATATCTCCCACTATACCTCTAATCTCAATATGTTTCTGGAATATTGAACGGTAACATTTCTTATATTTGCATTGTATTAGCTATTATTACAAATGGAGCATTGCACTTAATTTCTAAGATCCCAAAAAGAGTTCCGACACAAAAATGTCTCAGCATTAATCCATCAAGAAGTTACTCATTATCAAGCTGTAGAATGACCATTAGCTATGAAATCCCTATTGGACAAAAATTCTCATGCGCAATGATGATGTGGGTCAAACGCTGAAATACACAACATTATAAGATAAATTTGTGCATTCATACAAAGGCTAAATAACTCTTACAAGATTGAGACGAGTCCTCCTTTCAAATTGGAGATGTGACCATCCTTCCAATCCAAGATGTATTCTTTCTTAAAAATATGGTCCCTGACACTAAAATTAGATGAAGTACAGCTGAGATAATAAATATATAATCAAGACAATTTTGAATATCTTAATTAGTAAAATAAATCATTACTTCAGATGAGATATAAATATGTAATCAAGAAAATTTTGATAATCATAATTAGTAAAATAAATCATTACTTAACTTAATTTTTGTGTTTGGTTTTTCTAGGAAATCATGCACATTTGACCGATATATTATTGATATACTAGTTGTACATTGATTTACCAAATTGGAGGAGTGTTTAGCGACAAAGAATTTATTATTAAAAGAACATTTTCGCTTCATTGTTTCTTCTACTACCTTCTAAACTCGAGGACTGTTGACAAAAAATAAAATTTTTATTTTTTTTACTGACATTTTTTTTGTATAGTATTTGTACATTCACATTCAAAGTTCAAAGAGTACCAAAGAAAAATCTTTAGTACTTAAAAGAATATTTTTATTTCTATTAAAAATAATAAGATACTTCGGTCTTAAAAAAAATGTATCTTTTGTCAAGATATTCTTACTATTTGTTACACTATGAAACACACAAATTTAATATGATTTAATGAGATACATATAATAAATCATTAACTTAAACAATAATTACTAATTTTTTTATAAACTTAAAAATATCTCATTAGAAGACTCTATCTCTTAAGTCGCTTTTTTTATTTTAATATAGTATTTTAAATAAATAATTTAAAAAATAATTAAAATTTTATAAATTTATAAGATTATTTTAATTATTAAAAATAAGATAATTTTAAATTCTATCCGAAAATTAAGATTTTGAAATTCTTTATTTTTATCCTTCCTTAAATTTAAGACTCTTTTCTTCATTTTTTTTTCATTTAATTTTGATTGAAATGTTTTTTATTTATATCGACTTGTTTCAACACGTGTCAAACTAACTCGACCTTAATCAACATTATCTTGTATGAGTTTGACTCGTTTTGATCATATTTGAATCAACCTAGCATGTGTTAACAACCATCATTAAACCTATATTAGTCTACTTCAACATATCTTCACCTAATCCAACTCATCTTGACTTGACTTGTCCTAACATAATCTAACTCTTCTTAAAATCTGGTTTAACCCAACTAATCAAAATAGGTTTGACCCAACCTATTCTAACCTGACTCATCTTTATCTAACTCGATTCATCTTAATATGATATCTCCTAAACTAACACATATTGTCTTGATTTGCCCTAACCTATCTAATTTTGCTCTGTCTTATTCACTTACAACCTAAACTGATTAATTTGAATCCAAACTTAACTCGGTCTGATTCATTTTGATCCAGCTTGATGCATCCCAACACAACCTGACTCATCTCAACTTGTCAATCTAACCTAACTTAACCTAGTACAATTTATTTTGATGAGTTGGGATAAGATGAATCAAGGTGATTTGTTCTGATCTCACTTGACTCGGTCTAGTTTGTCATGATCCGTTTTGGTCTAATCTTATCCACACGGATAAGGATTAAGTATTGAAAATTAAACCTAATTTATTATATAAGAATGATAATTTTTATATTTGATAGTAATTAAAATATTTAATTCAAATAAAAAAATAAATTTAAATTATCTTATCCAAATAAATCATTTGAAAAATAAATCACTTTAAATAAAAATAATAATAAAAATTACAATATACTTTGTTCAAACCTATAATCAAGATCTAACAAATTTAAATTTTGAACTGTTCTTCAACAAATATATACATATGCGTACTCTATTAGGAATCAGAATAACTGCATAAGAACTTACAACTAAAATAAAAGATGAGAAAAGAGAAATAAAATCAATAATAGACAATAATAAAATTTTACTATTGAAACAAATTACAATACCCTCTTTAAATCTAAGGAGAAAACAATAATAATATTCCTTCTCATAAATAAGAGAATTCAGCTACTATGTAATGCACTAGTAGAAAGGAAAAGAAAAAGATTTTGGGTGTTTTACAAGATAGACATTGTGCTCCTTTTATATTAGGAAAAGTAAGCACCAACATATAATTTCCTTGACGTGTTCACAATCTCCCACTTGAAGATTTTGATAAAATTAATCAAATTTTCACAATACATTATTATTGTCTTTCATGTTGTTATTGTCTCGCATCTATGTAAATTTATCACTGTTAACCGACTATTGCAACATCTGTTAGGTTCTTCTTGTTTAGTCTTGAAATACATTTTGTAATGTACAAGACACTCTGATTATAACAATATACAATAATTTGTTGTTGCTTATGTCTGAGTTCCTCTATTATCGTCTTAAACCAAATAGTTTTCTTACATGTCTAGGTGTCTGCCATGTACTAAACTTCTCTGATAGACAGAGCTACAACATCCTATAACTTTGATAACCAATTATGGTCCCTCTAACAAAAATAAATTCATAAAGATCACCTGCAAAACCTAAACAAAATACCATTTGATAACTAGTTTTGATCCTCCAAACATAATATAATATTCAAGGTTTCTTTGATAAGAATTCTCTTGATAATATTCATCCTCTCCACCACAATTTGTCATAGATCTATTAATCACTCCCACTGCTTGTGCAATGTCTAGTTTTGTATTGATCATGGTATTCATAAGACTTCTTACCATTGATGTATACAATACACAAGACATTTTCATCCTTCCTGCTTTATTGCTAGGATTCATACTTGATGATAACTTGATAGAAAATGAGATAAAAAATGACTTACACTCTTGCATGTTAAAGCATTGCAAGACCTTTAATAAGTAATTCTTCTGATAAAGTCAAACATTTATATCTTTTAATGTCCCGATGAAATTTGCTTACCTAAAGTCTTGTTTGTTCGTCCCTAGTTCTTCCCTTCAAACTTCCTAGCCAACTGTGCATTCAAAACCTGGATTCGAACTTTGTTAGAACCTACCATCAACATGTCATCCACATACAACGACAAAATGATAAAATCATTCTCATCAAATCTATAGGTACAATACTTAGTTTATTGTAATCAAGGCTAATAATGAAGAATTAAATATCTTGTACAACACCTGGACACCTAGTTTAAACCATACAAAAATTTGGACAACCTACCAACTAAATTTCTTTTTTATTTTAAGTCTTCTAGTTTGAACATATCAATCCTTTGTCTAAGTTCACCTTGAAGAAAAATAATATTTATATCACCGTTAACAATAATCTTGTGGATAGCGAGATTCACAGGAAATATCGCTTCATATTGTTAGCATAGTCCAAGAATTTGACTTTTCCGAAATTTGAAAACACAAACTTCCTCTTAATACGGTACACTCATAATCTCCTGAATAATCATTATCATCACTGACATAAATTTGGCCCCTCCTAGGGATAACACTAGCAATTCCAACACATCATAATAAATCAAGTTCAATATGTGTTTCTTCCTAATACAATTTGACGTCCAAATCTCCTTCATTGTATCCTTCTCCACAAATTATAGCGTGGTTAATTTCTTCCCACCTTTGATATGTGATGCCTACGGTCTTTCTCCAATTGCTTCTACACAATTGTCTTTTTTCAAAATTGTTTTCATTTTCAGTTTTCACAATGAGAAACTATTCTCATTAAACTTCTCTATCTCATATTTTGTTGTCATGATTTTAATCGACTTATGCACTTTTTACTATAATTGTATTATCTACTGGAACAACGTAGATTGTAACTAGTACACTAGGTAAACTCCTAAGAAATCAAGGTGAGTCACAAATGGACACACTTTTCTAGACATGCACTACCATGTTACCACATTTTATATATAGTATCCAGTAACTAGAATAACTTTTTTTTAATGTAAAAGATCAAATTAACTACAACCACAAAACATGCTAAAAATTTTCTCCAATATTATTCTAATGACTATAACGGCAAAATAATATCGTAAATAAGAAATCAATTATAGACAATCATAAAATTTTACTACCGAAAGAAATTACACTACCATCTTTAAATCTAAGAAAAATATAATAACAATATTCTTTCTTATAAATAAGAGAATACACTAGTAAAAATGGAAAAAAAAAAGTTTTTTAATGATTTACAAGATTGACATGTGATTTAAAAAAAAAATATAAAAAAATCAACATATAGCTTTCCCCATATCAGACTTATTTTCTGGTATTCTCACATATTCATGGAAGATAACTTATCTCTCCAAAGGAGTCAAGGTTAATCAGAACAAAGTTCCCAAATACTTCAAACAAAATGTTTTTGGACACCCGGAGAATTTGGGCAGGGTTAAGTAAATTCAACAGTAAATGCTCTAACCTTATAAGACGTCCATTGAGAACCTTCAGTAGACAAACCAGAGTATATATGTGAAGCATTGAATCCTTGTTAAGAATTTATTAGAGGTAAAAAAATCCTAGTTCATTTTTGCTGGGAAATGATTTTTCACGCTACCTCATGTATTTCTCTCTTAATTTTTATCCTTAATTTGTTCACATCCTGTGCATAGCTTCAACATAAGAAATCCCTGTGAATACAGCACCAGCTCGTGAGAGCATATTCTGTGAAATATTCCATACTTGAGACCTGGCGCAGAACACAAAGTAAGGCACGGACTTTCAGATCTATTCTGAATAGAAAAAGTGGACGTAAATCAACTAAACGCAGCATAACTAAAATCATATACATTATCGAAAGGAGAACATACAAAGACCTCACCAAAATTGGATCCGGTGGTGGAAGAAGCTTCCATCGCAGGAATGTCTTTGTCGTCTACAACGGAAAGTGCTTATGGAGAATCTTAGAATGTTGTTGGCGAATGGTGAATCTAGAAGTGAAGGGGAATTTGTTGAATTTTAGTATGGTTGCGGAATTTGTTGACGTCTGATTGGAACAACCAGTACTTCAACAAAAGCCCTGAAAAAGACAGAAAATAGAAAATAAATAACAAAACAAACAAAAGAAAAGAGTATTTGCTTAATTTAATCATACCATGCAAGTCAGATGAGGTACAGCAACAACAACGGCAACACCCTTCAGTAATTATGATTTTGGCATCAGTGAAGTTCTGAGTGCCATTGCCCTGCTTGTTGAATGAGTCGGTTATCACTTGAAACCTTGAAAAATTAGCAACGGAGGAGAGTGTTTTTGATCGAAGAAGTGGCACCATTTTCAGATTCATACTCCCTAAATCTCTTTTTGTGTTCTTAAAGAGAGAATGACCTGTACCTAGCTGGATCCTTTCACAGGGTTGACTTTTTAAATCTATTGTATTACAACTGTTCAAATACAATTTGAAGACTTCCATAGTTATAAAATCAAATATACACTTGAGGACAAATTTATAGAAATAATTTTTTTATTAATTTATTTTAAAAAATTTAATAAATGAACAGAGTTTGTTGAAATAAACATTTTAAAAAAGGGAAAAATATTAGTTAAAAAATAAGGTTTTAGTTGAAAAACCTAAAATTAACATTTTTAATAAGATCAAATAGTATAAAAAATAATTATTTTCAAAAACACATGAAACAAACTTTGTTCAACATGTTAATTGACTATATTAATCTATCTAATAAACGTTTTGGTAGTTCTATTTATGTTTCAACTGTAATACAAATCCCACCAAAATAACAATAGATGGTTAGTATTTCTAATTGTTTTAGACAGTTGTGATAATTATATTATTTTAATAATTATTCATATAAAAATAAATATTATAATCAAAATTAATTTTATCTACAGTAGAAAATTATAGTTTAGTGTAAACTAGAAAAATCATGAAGCTATTAAAAAAAACCTGTCAGAATATAAATGTAGGTAATTTTGGAAATATTTTTAGAAGAAAAAACTGATAAAAATAATTGTAAGTTTCAAATTTTCAAATACACACAAAAAAAAACTATTTTTCAAAAAAAAAAAAAATAACGGTTCAATAACAACTTTTTTTGTGCCTAATCGAACGTTTTCAATTTTATCAATGAAGTTTTACATTTTTTTTAATCTGTCAACTTGTAACTTATTGTTCTACAGAGTTAATTATTAAATACAATAACATAAATAATATTAAGCTTTTTAACATAAAAATTATTTGATGAGTCCAAACCAAGTTAGTCAGATTTGTAAGATGATTCACAAATGTATATAACATATGAATGGTAATCATTGGTTACTTGCCTCCTTCAATAAAATTTTGTCTTGTATTTATTAATATTTTATAAAAAAATATAAATTAAATTATTTTGTAAGTTCTTGTGGGAAAGATACTACAATTATCACTGTAAATTTTACAAATATATCCATGTTCATGTTTAGTCTGTATTTTTTTTTCTTAGTACTTATTTTAGGTTATTACAATAAATTCAAATTATTTTAGAGACTAACAAAATTCAAAATATTAGTTATAAAAATTTAGACTGTCAATTTAGATTTTATCAAAAATAATTTTTATTTTAAATAACAAAGTGAATTATGACACAAAATTATATTATTTTTTTAAGTAATCTTTACTTTTTTGTTATAAAATATTATTTAAAGAAATTAATTACATATAATTTTTATTTTATATTATATAATAAATTATATACATATATTTTTAATATGTAAAAGGAATTATTTATCAAATATATTCAGTATACTATAAGAATAAAACATTTTATATCAGTTTTAAATTATGTAAATATAGAAAAAGAAAATATTAATAGTTACTCTTTTATATTATATATAATTTTTTATATAATAAGATCATTAGTTCTTTTAAAATGTAAGTGCAGTTAGCAGTTTTCTTGATTTTTTTTCTGTTGGAGACAAAAATTGTATCTGATATATTATAAAATAAATTATATTACAAGCAATCAAAATTAATAAATTACATCAAAAGTTATATATTAAAAATAATTGTCTACAGGTAAGTTATACTGCTTTTAATCCCTTTTATAATACCTAAATAACAATTCACCTATAAGGAAAAAATTGATTAATTTAATTCATCAATTAATTATGTTTAAACTTATATTTTCCAAAATATTCCTAATATGAATGAAACAGTTACAAAACCTAAAACTGTATATTTTACCAACTACCTATTGAATTAAGTAAAATGTGTATGCAATGGTTTAACTAATCCAATTTATCTCCTCATTAATCCAAGTTTTGTTATTGTTCCCTTATTAGTTAGTCTACTTTTTTTTTTTTAAGAAATTGAGGTTGATAATAGACTAATGGAGTAAAAAAATTCAAGAATAAATATGTTTGGATTAAATTTTCGAAAACAAGCTTTTAGTGAAAAAAATAAATACTTATCTATAAATAATTTTGTAGTTATTTTTTTTCTTCTAAAAACTTTGATAGAAAAAGTTGTCTAATCAATTACTATGGGGAGAGTTAGTTAAAAGTCTTTTAGTTTTTCTCTTCCTATATGTCTCTTTATATTTATATTTTTCCTGTTATATGGGATAGAAAGAAACAAAAGTAAAAACAATTAATATTCTAAATAATAAATCCTCACTTAATTCGCTCATTAATAAAAAACTCGTTTTCAATCATTTTGCACTTTAACTACTGTGCACGAGATACTTTTATCAAATTAAAATTATTCTTCATATTTTGAAAAAAAATATCACATTTGATAAAAATGTGAATTCGGTACATTTCTAACTCAAAATTGAGTTGAATTCAAACTTATAATTTAAATTATTTAACACATTAAAAATTTATATTATATAAATTTTATTTTTAATTTAATTTATAACTAAACTACAATGTTGAGGTAAAATTTGCGAAAAGAACAGGGGTGTTAGGTGTGAATGTGGGAGAAAAATACATAATATTAAAAACAAAAGTGAAAAGGGGATGGAGTGATAGAAGAGTAAAAAGGGGGTTCGAATAGCATGGACCATAGTCGCAGGCCATAGTTGTTGGCCCATATACTCCTTCTCACCAGGCTTCACCTGACAAGAGTGTGATAGTGTCCCGGGTTATTATTGTGACCAACCACTGCAAATATGGCTCACATGACACCTAGAAAGTATTATCTTTGTAAATATTTATTTAATAAATCTAATAATAATAATAATAATGTTTTAGATTAATTATTAATTCCTGATTTTACTTTTAAAAAATTATTTTTCATCGTAAACAAGTAACTAAACAATATCATTTTTTTAAAAAAGAAACTACCAATATTTAAACTTATAGATTATAATTATAAATTAATTTCTCAACTACAATAACAGCAAGTATTAATTAAACAATGTTTAAAAATATTTAAAAAGTTATAATGCGATAACTTTTTATATATAAATTTTAACATAAACAGTTTTGCTACTAGTAAATAAAGATATTAACAAATAATAATTTGTTCCCGTCCGAATATTTTATTTACAGTCACAAATTTTATTGTTATTATAATTTTTAAAGAATTTTATATTATATTTATAATTTTGTAAAACAGTTAATATATATATATATATATATATATATATATATATATAATCATCTTAAATATTCTTTAATTAATATAATAATTTGTTAATGTCAAATCGATGCCGGATTAATAAAAATTAAACCATTTATCTTAAAATTAGTTTATTTATTGATTAAATGGTCTATCCAATTTCAAAAGGGGATAATTATTTAATTTATAAATATCATAAATTGAAACTTAGTTATTTTACTTGCTTTCATTAGTTGTTCTTATTGAAATTAGTGGATTAAGATTAATATTAAAAGTACAGAAAAAATATTAAGAATAAAAAAAAAGTAAAATTTTAAAACTTAATTTATAGTATAAAATAATACTAACAATATTATATTGTATTAAAATTTTTGTTTTCCTCATATCCAAACTTCAAACCCAATTTAAAACCCAAACTTTTATGAATTCAAATTCCATTATCTCCTTATTTCTCTTTCTCTCTCACCCAATTTAAATGAATTAATTAAATAGATTAAATCCTTGTATAATTTCAATCATTATTTTATAATATACTATGATTTTATAATTAATACTAAATTTAAAAAAATCATACCAAAAATAAACTGAAAAATAATATACAAACTAAATTTATATAAAATCATAAAATTTAGCAGTTTAATATAATTCATAATATTTTTACATAAAAAAACAAATTAATAGAGAATCAAGTGGTACTAGAAAAAAAATTTAATATATGATTTTTTACATATTTTAAAAGTCTTTAAATCTAGAATAAAAGCAATTTTTATAAATATGGATAAATAAAAATATTTTAGAGGAAGATCTTGGAAAAAATAATTATCCTTCCCAGTTAATTGTTCTCTCTAAAGATCTGCCAACTAAAAAAATAATGAGTTTATGTGATATATAAAATAGAAGCTCGTAATTTGATTTTACAGATAATAAATACTAACAAAATAATCAAATATTTCAACTTATATGCAAAATAAGATAATTATCAAGTTAAATTAAATACATACATAAAATAGTTTAATATATAAGAAAATAAATAATTTTTATTCAAACCATTTAAATTAAAATAAAATCACACGTATTAATAATCACATAAATAATTAAAATTATATATATATATATATATATATATATATATATTTAAAAATTAAGGAGATATTTAATATAAACAAACTTAGGTATTTTTCGGTGTAGTCAAAATGGATAATGAAGTTATATTACTTCTCATCAATTGGTTAATTAAAAGGAAAACGATAAATATAATTCAAAATATAAAGCAAAGCAGAGAAAACAAATTATATGTCAAATACATACATAAATTTGCACAATTTTAGATCTGATCACAAATAAGATAATAAGAAAGTATTGATAATTTACTTTGAGATATGTTAATTAGCAAATTAATGTATGAAGAATCTAGTCAAAAGAATATTTTTAACTATAAGAAAAACCATTAATCTCAATGTCAATAAGTAAATTTTAGAATTTAATTATAAAACCAATAACCAATATGATCTTTCTTAAGTTATTAAATGACAAAGTTTAGAAGTAGTATTATAAAAATAAATCAAGTCATGAAATGATGACAAGATAAAAATAAGGAGATACGTTCAAAAAATAATGAGCTAAGATCTTAGCATTTGTTTGTAACAAACTATTTCAAAAGGCAAAAAAATCAATTACAATCTATCAAAATGATAATGTTAATTAAAGTAAAACAACATACTTATATG